TTTACATTAAATATCGCCTTTCTATACTGAAATTAATGTACAGACTTTCTAGGTATCTATACCTAACACCGTATATGCTGATATGAGTCGTAGATACCATGTTAGTTCAGCAAGATTAGTTAAAGATTAGAAGATATCAAATTAAATTCTTGTTCAAATTCTATATGTCGACTAGTTGTCGCACGCGACTTTGTCACTACGGAATTTAAAAATATATATTCTAAGTTAGTCCTCTACATGTCGGCTATATCCAGTAAAAGTTCTGACATAATCGGTCTAGCCGTTTTAGAGATTTCCCGGAACAAACGCAGTTTTCAGTACAGACAGCAAAAAATGGTTTCGAGGAATGTGGTAATTTTAATATTGGCTTCCACTTGAAGAAAATATCTTCTAGAAAAAATTCCTCCGAAACGGCTTGATCGATTTTTATGAAATTTTATATGCACATTCAGGAGGTCTAAGAATCGTCTACTATCTATTTTTTTATTCCTCACGCAGGAGTCGCGGGCGACAGCTAGTGTTGTATAGAATTCGTTGTGCCAGTGAGAACTTCACTGTTATGTTAATTATCTCATTACGGTCAAATGAAAATTTTATGATATCTTACGCTTTAACAAATTATTTTATGTAATCTCATGCGAAATCGAGTGTAGAAAAATGTAGCCGCTTCAAAACCGGTTCGTGACCATCAGTGAAAGTAATTCAACATTAACTTACAGTAATTTATAGAAAGGAATTTTGAACTCAACCATTGTTTGAAGTTGAGAAAATATTGTGATGAATTTTAAACCTTAAACAATAGTTATAAGGTGTAGAATCGTATGATTGGATATCCACGTCCGTTATAAAAAGTGATAAATGATCAATATGGTTTCTTTATAAAATTTAGAAGTATTGTGTTCTTTATAAACCGGTAAATTTAAAATTACATTGTCTTCCAATTTATACTTTTGGTAAATGGCAGACCTTTCTATCTTAACACCTTATATCAGCTTAATTATGGTTAGGTATGATGTTTATAGGCATATAATGGAACTTTAGCTAGTTCTGAGTAGTACCTTTATAAAATATTGTAATAAGGGTGGGAAGCAGAAGTGGACTTTCCGGATGAGAGTATGCATGGGAAGGGAAAATATTTTCTTTCTGTGCATCCTCTCTTCCGTCGATTAAAGATAGGTAACGTATATTAATTGCGTATGTCAATGCGCAACGGTCACTTCGCTATTTCAGCGATTTCAGATCTCCGCTCGCTCGTTTGCCACCTTTGTTATAAAAAATAGTAGTATCTGTTTCTTATATATTACTAAAGACCTAATAGGTTCTAATAAATTTCAGGCATACAAACCATTTCCAGTACACCAGTCTCTTTGTAATGTAATATTTTATGTCCCTTAAGTAAATTTTAATTTATCTAATATATAAAATTCTTGCGTCAAAATGTTAGTTGCTATACTCCTCCGAAACGGCTTGAGCGATTTTTTGAAAGTTTATATGCATATTCAGTAGGTCTCAGAATTGACTACTATGCAGACGGAGTTGCGGGCGACAGCTAGTTATAAAATAGTGATAAATGACTTTTACATATAATACTTTTAGCATTTATCCAAGTAAAGAGTGGTTAATAAATTCTATTTAATGCGCATGAGAAATCCGAAAGCGGCTCGTGTGGCTCCTAATTAAGTTAAGCACCACTCGGCTTCTCGTAATAGCGTGAACGAGCCAACTGCAATTGTGTCATATCACTCACTATATATGTTTATTTATGGACTACGTTTGTAGTAAATCTATGGTAATAATATAAAACTGATGATTTGTAACGAGACAATATCAACGCGAATTACTTATTTTTGAACAATTCAGAACAAATAAGTCCTCCTTTCAAGTCAGTCCAAGTAAGATTGACCTGGAGAGGATATTTAATAATAATAATAAAGTCTTTTATTTCCATATCTAAATAACTATTTACATGAGTAGTATTTTCTTAGTATTGTTAGTAATTAGCTTACATTTATATTAGTATTGTTAGATTTACGTGTTTAGATATGGACACCGCTGTGAGTAAAGGCCTCCTCCATCTTTTTCCAAACATTCCCGTTCCTACAGAGAGGATATTTAGGAACAGAAAATATAATTTTTATTTCCAGTTATCTTAAAGTCGATAAGCAAGAAACGAGTCATTGTCCGGAGTACATTTATATGCGCAAAACTCGCGTTAGACGTAAAAGTCATAAGCAAGAAAAATGTTGCAGATTTGACTGTCCACTTAGACTATAACTTATCCAACTTCTACTGTTGTTTGTATTCAATATAAGTAGGTAACATCGATAACCAGTATGTTTTTTCATATCTACATTTAGTTAAACGGCTCGACGGATAAAATGTCATGCAGGTATGATTCATAGTGATTCACTCGCAGGTTGTTTAATTGCTTAGGTGTTGTGTTGTGACGAGGTGATAGTGTTATACGATTTAAATATACTGAATTGAGATTTTAGAATACTTATGTATAACAGCTTTTCTACATCTATTTCAAATTTCAGTAAGATTTTTCCAGCTGTTCCGAAGATACATTTTACAAGCATCCATCCAAACATTTGCATTTATAATATAAGTAAGTTTTATATGGTTATAAGCACCATTTCATAAAGCTTCAAAATAGTATGTTTACAAACAAATCTTGAGGTAAAGTGTACTCAATGTGTAACCTTAATGTGTCCCTTATCTTAATCTAGGTCTGAATCAGGTGATAATCTTCTTATAGAACATATAAATAATGATCTGGACGTAGGTCTCGCCATCGTAGAAATTTTTTACTTCCTCCTAAATGTAAATCATATTCAGTCGCTATCTAGGTCAGATGTAAGCAATATCATTATTGATTAATATTTATAAATAACACTTTCAGTTTATCTCGGACTGTACTCAATATTGAGCCAGTATTTCGTGCTCGTATATTTATTTATTTATGAATATTATCAATTTTGTAGCCTGGTTTTATTTCAATATCTATTGAGTATTAGTGTTTATTTTTCATCTTTCGTAGTCTTCTTACTATCTTATCTTAGTAATATTATAAATGCGATGTATGGATGTATGTTAGAATGTATCTCGAGAACGACACTTAGTCTGGAGAAGACATAGGCTACTAATAAAGTTTTTTTTATTCTCCGCGAACGGAGTCGCGGGCGACATCTATCTTACTATCTTACTAATATTTTAAATGCGAATGTTTAGATGGATGGAAAGATGTTTGTTTGAAGGTATCTCCGCAACGGCTCAACGGATCTAGCTGAAATTTGGCATAGACGTAGAACATAGTCCGGAAGGACACATAGGCTGTTTAAAGTGTTTTTTTTATTTTCGCGCAGACGAAGTCGCTGGTTAAAGCTAATTTTACATAAGAATTGGTTAATAAGCATCGTATACTTGTACAGTCCATAAATAGACACAAGAAAATTGTCTTTCTAAAGTGTCTGCGACATTTTCTTATTGTTTTTCTTAATGGAGGGACTTGAGGCCATTTACATAGCGTGGGTGGACGACCTTGTGCGGCTTTTCTTTACAGATCGCCAGTATTCTTGGAAGCTTTTATAAATGTTTAACTTTGATAAGAATTTAAATATAAATCTACAGGTTGTTTATATATTTGTACTTACAACTTTTGTTAATTGTCTTTTAAATTAGAATTAAAATGTTTATTATATTATAGAATAATTAAATTAAGAGAAATATTTAAATTAAAGTATTGGTATGTTTTTGTAGAAATCGAACAGGCGGTATAAGTTTCAAAGAACATTTTCATTACAATTCAAATGAACAATACAGGATGTTTCAAAATTGTTAATCTCATACACTCGTAATTAAAGCAAGTCGAAACCGAAGGCCTGGAATCATTGATTGAAGAGATATAACAAGCATTGAATTGTGTTGAATACAGATCTTTGTTGTTACAGCATCGTATTCAAACACTAATTGAAATCATTCCAATTTGTAATACAATGATTTTAATAACTTTGTTTTGTTCTGCGAAGCCTACACGTTTTATTCGTCCTTTTGTCTGTCTCCGCGAGGTTGTGATTTTTATTTTATAAAAAACTAGCTGTCGCCCGCGACTCCGTCCGCGTGGATATATAAAAAAAACTTAATTAGTGTAGCCCAACCATCCATCAATCCACGTCACATCCATCTAAACATTCGGATTTATAATATTAGTAAGTTAAATAAAAAGCAGTTCTTCAAGGCATAAATTAAAAAAAAATGAATAAATAGTATCCTATGTCCGTCTCCTGGCTCTAAGCTACTCCTCACCAATTTTCAGCCATATAGGTAAAGCCGTTCTTGAGTTATAAATAGTGTAACTAACACGACTTTCTTTTATATATATAGATTAGCAAATTTTTGTGAATTTACTAATATTTCTTGCATTATTCCAAGTAAGCTCTAGGCTTGTTTGTGCTAGGACATTGTTGACGACAATAGTCGATTGGCGGGATTCGAACTCTGGGCCAAGAGATCGGAAATCCGTATTCTTAACCATTAGGCTATAGGCATACGCTACTATTTATGTAATAAAAATGGATTAATGTTATATATTTATATGAATAAATAAAAACGCAAGCTATACGTCAATCCTTGTCTTTTATCTGAAATCTTTTATTGAGCAAGCAATTTTGGATTATATAAGTCAATTTGTCGGCTCCTTTTGATAGCAATATTTTGGCTCCCTGCAAAGAGACGTTCGATTTAAATAATAAGGCTATCTAATCGAACTATCGAAATGTCTGATAAAAGATATACATATCAACTAACATGTTTTTTTTTATCATGCTCACTGAAGGACACGATGTATCTTTTAGATTATTATTTGTTATGATTTGATATTTGTATTAAACATTTAACTTATGTGGTTACCAACCTACTATAGATATTATTTAAATAGTGTATTATAAAATTAAATTGTGAGTTCGTGTATTGAAATGGCAATTTTGGATACTTTACAGTTGACGAATCAAGTGGACAAATTGGCACAGGTCAGTCGGGATCTACGACGGAAGCATAAGCAGCTACAAAATCAGGTAATTATATTCTTGTATTTGGGGAAGGGGAATTGACGGTGAAGGGGACGCATAGGAAGGGGAAATGTCCTCTATCTGAGCGTGACCTCCTCTGTCGATTAACATGTCTATGACAGCAGTTGTGAACCTGCACATATCTGAGAAGAAATTCAAAGATATTTGTGAAGTCACCAACACCAACCCGCACTTGGCCAGCTTGGTTGATTATGGCCTAGTCACCCATAACTTAGGGTAGACTCCGAGCCTCTCGGTGGGGACGTATAGTGAGCTGATGATGATGACAGCAGTCGCTTCACTATTTGGTGAATTGAAGTGTCCGTTTGCTCGTTTGCCACCTTATAATAAGTGTAAAAATTTACTATTATTATAATAGATAGTCACAATATTAATTCATAATTCATACGAAATATTTTTTAAATATAATGAAATAACGTACATTCATCGACAAACGCAATATCGATCTTTTCATCAATTATCTGCCATGAGTTTGCACTTGATTGTACTATAAAATATCGCCATCCCTTTGTTTTTCTTGAATAAAACAGAGATAACCATATCTTATTTTCGGTAGTTGTTATTCACAGTATCATGTAAGCACAGATAAGTATAAGATCGTGTAATTTAAAATTCACCTTCAATTCCGATATGTTTGAATTTATTATCATACTTTTTTCATAATAAAAAATGTAAACCACACGAATGCAAAACATTGCGCCAATTCAACTTTCATGAATTTAAAATAATGTTTCCCTCGCGACTGCAAACTGTCTGGTCTACGCTATACTACTTTATTTGATAATTAGCTTTGAATTTTTACGACTATCTCCTTTATTTTTTTTGCTTTATATCAAATATAAATAATATATTTATCAAACTATTTAAGACTGCAACATTTTAAATACTTATTCAAATGTAACCCGTCTTTTAAATGCATTTTTAACTTAAAGTAAATAGCAAAACCACTAACCTAAATAGTATCAAGATGAACCCCCTATCTCGTCATGAGTAGTTAATAACTTTAGAGCTCTTAATAACATACTTTAAAGGAATAAGGGCTCTTCTCACCGAGAAAGTATGTTAACTATAACACAGGAAATTTTATGATATTAGGCTAAAAAACGAGCACGTTCTTATGTTTTGACCCGTCTTGCGAAAAGAGTTAGATATAAAAGATGTAACTATTTTCATCGAATAAGTTTCAATTTTTCATGTAATTACTGTCAATGCCCAGTCCTTACTCCTTTCTTAGTGTGGCAGGAACAAAACTTTGTTTCCCGAATGAATATATCATCAGCTCACTGTAGGCTAGACCGAGGGGATCGACCTCGGCGTACCCTAAGTTAGGGCTGACTAGGCCATAGTCAACCACGCTGGCCCAGAGCGGGTTGGTTGACTGAAAATATGCTAAGATCGATATGGGCCAAGTCTATAGACGTTATTACGTCATAGTTTCAATTTCTTTTGGCAACTGCCACCGATGTGTCTAATAATTGAATTTTTAAAAAGGCTTCAGTATTCTACTACGAGTTCAAAAGTTGGCACGAAAACTCTAGACCAAAGCTCTCAGTTGTAATACTAAACTTTCGCAATTTTGAACAAACGAATCAATGATATAAATATTTTAGTATGCGCCCGAATACTTCTATTGTTTGGGATTTAAAGTCTCTAAAATGTACAAAATTATATCTTAGTTTGATTTCAACGAATGTATATTAGAATGTGTTTTTGTAGCTATGGTTTTTAATATGGAAATAAACCGCCGACTCTAACTACAGTAACAGGTCGTTGTGGGTTTTTACAGCAGAAATACTTGTACAAAAATATATTCTAATCACACATTCTCTTTGAAAAAATTAAGCTAACACCCACGTCTTTCGTCTGTGAAAACTCACGGTTATATTAAGTGCGGAGCCATTCGCACGCACCTCCAAATCCTATTACGTTGATTGTGACCAAACCCCACTTTATTTTGGCTAATAAATTTTACTAGCTGTTCGATTAAGTATTTAATGGTCGCTCTTCAATTTGTTTATAGTCCATTGTGGTTTATTTGTATTAGGTAATGAAATTGATATCAGTTTACACCAAAACAATTTCGTAGAATTATTCGATACTAAACTGTATTATAATTATAACATTAATCAATAAACTTATAATGAATTTCCTAAAATGTAATTGTATATATTAAAGCCCAAGATACTTATGGAATTGATATAATTCGTATCATTGCATTGTTAATCATGGTTACGTATTGTTAGGAAGACAATCCGTCACTGTGCCGGTGTATCGGCGCAACACTAGCCTTATTAAAATATCAACGTTTATGTCCCCTCACTAATCGATCTGACACTTGACTTGGCAATGAAAGCGCGCCATTCCAAATGATTCTCTTTAAAATACATATATTCCGTAGACTATAGAAAAATGCAAGAGCATGTTTTTTTTCGTGAATAGCTGTGAATTTCAAATAATACAAAACGTACGAGCCTTTTTCACGCCTTCGACACGTATTTTGCATTGGATGGAGCTTAAGTGCGAATGCAGTGTTTGTTTGAATTCTAAAGCTCGCAATAGTATGTAGGCTATTCAAGTTATTTTTGTGCATTTCACGTTAAATGTATGAATACTGTCGGATAAAATGAACTATATTTGTACGTGGGCGTACATTTTTTAATAAATTTAGGAAGGAAATTTAACACGTTTGTTCAACAATTGTGACAAAAATCGTCATTGGAGCAACTATTAACTACACAACTTGGATGTTCCATGATTAACATAGCAGCAAATGTTAGTGATATATTTTGTATTACATTTATAGATTAATCAATGAATGTTTTCAGATGCGTTTGGTATGCGAGGAGCGCACCGAACTGACAGCCATTGTCCAATCCCAGCAGAGGGACATTGCCGTGCTGCAGCAATCTGATGCACAGAAAACAGTAAATTTTGTTTACCATAGACTTAGTTTAGACCTTAATTACCCCAGTCCGTTTATTTACAAACATTTCATTAGTCGACAATATATTATTTGCTTTAAAGACAAATATAACTTAATCATCTTTTTCTATCTTCATCACTAGACTTACATAGTAACTGTCGCACTCATTGTGGCTTAAGGGTTATTCAAGTAGTCGCTTAGTGAAAATTTCTCATCCTGATTATACCCTAAAGAACTACTTAACTGTTTGCAATAAGTGGTTCGTGACGTGTAAAGTGTTTAAAAACACTGTCCAGGTCTTTGGCTCCTGAACTATAAGTCCCGTGTTACGGAAGCCTTGGCTCCCGAACTATAAGGCCCGTGTTACGGGAGCCTTAGCTCCTGAACTATGGCAGATTCCTTCTCTATATCATTAATTCGATTTTACATTTTAAAAGAATGGATAGAAGGATGAATGTTTTCAGCAAAAGTGCACGTCATGCGGCGCGGGATTCCCCGAGGGCGGGGAGGAGGGCGACCAATCATCGCGGCCGACGTTCAGCGTGCGCGAACTGCGCGCCATACTGCACGAGAGGAACGAACTCAAACTAAAGCTGAACCGGCTCGAGGAGCAGCTGCAAGCGCTGCAGGTTGAACCGCAGCCCGATAGGTAAGCGAACTATAGGAAGCGCTTTATGACCTGACTTGTTTCTTAACCTGTGTTGTGTCTTCTAATTGTCGATACTGATTTTGACGAGTGAAATGTAATTCTTTGTGACGGAGACATAATTTTAGTCTCCTTTCCCTCCCCACTTTTTTCCTCTACGCGAAGGAAGGAGAGCGCATGGGAAGGTCAAATATATTTTTGTGCGTCCTCTCCTCCGTTGATTAAAGGAAGACGACGTATCTTCAATTGCGGATGTCTGTGGGAGGCGGGCGCTTCGGTATTTCGTCGTATTCAGATCGTTCGCTTGCTCGTTTGCTAGATCTTAGACTATAAAAAAAATCGAATTTAAAAAATTCTGGATTGGTCCGTTTTCTGAGACATTATAACTTTTGTTTTTCATATTTATCTTCTGACCGTGACACTAATGTTTCATATAAAAACATTACGACGTATTCCATTCCAGTACAAGTTCAGACACATCGTCATCAGTTAGTACGACAGTTAACGAGGAAGAGGAGGCGCCAGTGCAAGGTCCGTTACCCGCGGAGCCTGATGACGCGCCATGGAAACGCAACAGTGGCATCAGGAAGTTGTAAGTACTAATTTCCTACCCAGGGGTCTAACTAATTTGGTCGGGACAACTAACGTTGCTGCATGCAATATGAATACCTGCATGTATTTGTGTGCTTTTGCTTGTTTTTCTTGCATTTAAAATTTATTATAATATTTGCAGTAATATTTTGGTAAAAAATATATACATATTTATAGTGACTTGAAGAAGTTGGGATATGGTATGGCTTATTTATATTTCTTGTTTTGATTCCATCGTCACCCTTGTTTTTTTTTATTTTTTTTTTGTAGTTAATAATTTTTTTATTATTAAATACACATTGTTTTAAATAATGGATGCAAGTCAATAGATTATTTGATTAGAGTGAGAAATCAGTGTAAAATTTAATAAGGGTGATATTTTTTTGTGATTATAGAATGACAAGGATATTTAAAACGGGGGACAAAAGTCAAATTAGTTTATCATAGCTTACTCTCATCCCTCTGTCAATGTCAAAAAACGGTCACAAGGTCTTTTCCGTACTGTCAGGTCATTTTTTTGTGTTATTTTCTATGTCCATGTAGGTTTTGAGGATAGCAGCCTTATATCAGCCAAATATCCTTGTTTGACTTTGCATTAATGAAGCTTTTTATTTTTTCTGTATGTCAACGCTAGACAGTGTGACAAAAATCATTGGGGATCATTAGATTTAACATGTTTATAAGTATATTAATTAATACCAAGGTGGTTGATGTATGTATTTAAATATTTTCCTACATTATTTCTTCTCACATTCACTCACACTTTTTGTTTGGTTCTGGTACATTTTTTTTATAATACATAATTTTATTTATGTACTGGTGATATAGTTTCGCATGAATAAAATTAAGGTTTTTGAAAATATCGAAACATTTTTTGGTTTTACATTTTTTTTAGTTTTATTTTTCAAATTTTTTTTACCTATATTTCTAGGTGGCTTTTAATGTTAAAGAACGAAAAATGCGACCAGGGCCGAAAGAGATCATCGTAATACACGAAGCACGGACTTGCATGAGTTTTCGATAAATTTAATACACTAGCAACCAATGCTTACCTCGCTTCACTTTTCCCTAATCCTTATCCTTTTTTTGTTGTTTTTGTCCAATTTTTGTCATATATTCACATAATTTTTTTTTAACTCATTAAATGTTGTTTGTTGTTTATATTTTTGCACAATCCTGTGACACGAAATGTACAGTTGTCACCAAAAACTACGTTACACAAAAAAAATCATTTTTTTAAATTCAAAATTGATAAAATTATTAAATAAACTCATTTTTTTAAAATCTGGTTTTCAGTTTTCTATTTACACTTTTTGTTACTTTCCCGTGCACTTTTTACCCCCTGATTATTTTGTCCACGTGTGGCCATTTTATGTTGAACCCTCCCCTTAAGTGTTGTGGTTGCGTGTGTGCGGCCAGGTTCTGGTTGGCGATGACGTCACGCGATGCCGGCCGTCGCTCGCCTCCGGCACGGATCTCTTTCGGCCCTTGGTACTGATTGCGACGTAGATTAAGGTATTTTTTATTTTTATTTCGCGACCCGAGCTTTTATTATGATTATTTGTTGCCAGCGTTAAATCACTTTAAAATATTTTTTCAAAAAATAACATTATTAAGTCTAACCTCAAAATGTCATCTGATTTGAATACGAAAACGAATATTCTATTTCTTTTTTATAAATTAAAAGACTGTTTTTACTTTTCCAAAAATAATTTTATAGTACAAGATTATTGCAAAAAAAATGCAAGAGGAGAGAGGCCGTCTTGCATGCTTATGACTGCTTGCTTTTAATATATATTTTCAATATTTAAATGTCAACACAAAAATCCACTTACGAGCGTGTCTAAATTAATATTGTACCTTCAAAAATTCATGTTGACACGAAGGAAAAATTATACATAACATAGTCAATGGAATTTGTATTTTTCAATTTCACCCTCGTTGGTGGATTTATTTTTTAATGTCATCTACAAAATTAATTATATCTGACTGTTGTACCGTTCAGTTTTCGCAAGCTCTTTGCTGAGTCTGATCTCTCCGTGGGCGCGTTCCCCCGGCCACTGTCCGCGCGCGGCAAGGCGGCCCCGCCCCCAGGCCCCGGTCCCGCCCCCGCCGCCGCCACCGCGTAGGCATTCTCTCCCCCGCGCAAACACGCACACTCACACCAAGCTCCGCCGTCTCTCCGACATGCACCACCGCCCGGAGCTCAACCTGCGCCTCGAGCTCAGCCTCAACCTTAACAATGCGGAGCTTGACAACTGGCTCGGGAAGTTCGATGAAGAACTGGACTACAGATTCAATCATGACATACCCCTGCAGAGATCTATCTCGTTGGACGGCGGAATTGAAATATTTAACTACTTGAACACGCTAGGCTCAGACTGGTCCAGTGCGTCGGAATGGTCGTTGAATTCGAACGACAGTGACCGTATGCTGGAACAGTACAGGAGTTTTGAAGATGTCCCAGCTTCTCAGTATAAAATGATAAGCAGGCGCGCATCTTTGGCGATGGGGAACGAAGAAAAGAATAAGGCTTTACACGTGTTGAGGAGTTACAAGGGCGTCGAGATGGAAAAGGGTGGCTTATCTCCGCAAGTTAAGAAATTACAGAAGACGTTTTCTTTTAAAAGCTTTTTTGATGAAGTGAAAGAATCAGAGAAAAGTTTTAATGAGGGAGAAATCGAGGACGATGAGATGTTAGAAATGAGGACGCCATTGAGCAGAAGCGTGTCGTATGAGTCGCGGACCGCTAAGACAGACAGAAACGAAGGATCGGGGAATCTTTTGCGTCAGAGAAGAATCGGCACCGTTCATAACGTGTGGTACGAGGAGGCTCAAAAGAGTAGAACATTGAGAAAGAAAGTATTGATGAAGCGATGTACATCTCACATTCAATTTAAAAGTAATGAACATTTAGGACAAAGTATCGACGATGTTCGATGTGGATCAGTAGAAAATGTAGCTAATTTAAAACCTGTACCTTTTATTCGTTTTAAAGATAGATACAAAGATATTGATAGAACGAGCACTTTTAATATTAAAAAACATAATTCAGATATTAATTTCCTTCCAATTCCTACCATAGTTGTAACTGATACAGACTCGTTAGTAAAAGATGATAAAAATATAGTTAGTAATACATTGAAGGACATGGATCTTTATCATTCTCTTGAAAATGTTGCAAAAGAAGTTGAAATAGATAATTCTGATGCGGTAGAAAGTATTTGCGATTGTAGAATTTGTAGAGATGACGAAGAAGATTATAGTAAATCATATTTAAGTAGGAAACTAAGTAAGCTATTTATAAAGATAGTTTCACTGATTGAATTCGGTAAGAAAATGACATATTGGGATGAGAATAACAATATAAATGAGGGTGAAATGTTCACTTGTATAATGCATGTCTTGAAGTTGATGTTTGGTTTGTGGTTGAGGCATTTTGATCATAATCCTCAGGTATTGAGTACATGATTAAGGGGTATTTTGGCAAATTAGGGGTATCGTTGCATATCTTTTGAATGGGAATGTTATATCTTAGTAATTATGCAATGACAGTATGTCATAATATTGCATATCGTTTATTAGAAAGAGACAAACTTATGTCGTCGTCGTGTTCGTACTCGTAATGTGCGAAAGAGATAACGCTCTACTAAATCGTAGCGATGCGTCTCATTCTAAATACTGATGTGCGATATTGGATTCTTCTAACTGTATTTGGTTTATTTTTTATAATTTTTTTTATTTTGTTTTTCATAATTTTCAGCATACGTAAATTATTACGACGTTGAAACATAATATTCAATTGTGAGATATTAATGAAAGAGAAAGTTAAACGAAAAATGAAGATAAATCGACTCGTTTTCAAGATTTGTTTTATTTGATAATTTAATATATTTATTATTACTTAATATTTGTTAATAATGTTTATAATAAATTAAAGTACAAGTGTTACAATAATTTGGATATAAAAAAAACTTTAAAAAATTACTGATTAATTAAAAAAAATCAGTTTTAATTGTTTTGTTTCATAAAAAGTATTATTATTTAGGCAACTTTATTAATATCATACAGATTATAATAATAAGTATGACATAATTGTATGGTTGTCAAATTAATTAACAATATTATTGAAAAGAAAAGAGGCTTTGGTTTAGTTTTTTTAAGCGATTATTTTTTTTAAAAATTGAATTGGGTTTGATCAACTTTTGTCGTTTACTGTCCAGTTTTTTTTAAAATTAGATGTGAGATTTACATTGTCCAAGTACATTTGTAACAGCTATGTTATAATTATTTTGAATGTAGCCGTCGTAATAGTATTTTTTTAATAACTCGGACCTTGTATGTTTAGTTTAAGACGTGTGTTTGGGCTGTGTGAACATATTTTAAGAGTTTTATTGCAATTAGGTTGTATTTGATAAAATGGTAAGGGAAAGGTTATTTGGAATATACATTTTTTTATGTCAAAATTAATATTTCATTGTGTGCCATTTTTTATAGAAATTATCGCACGCTAAAAAATTTCATACATTTTCAATCACGATTTTTTTTTTTTGCAATTTTTTTTAAATTACTTTTTATTTTCTCGATATCATTAATAATGGCCTAATTTATGGTTCGTTTAACAAGAATTGATAGTTTCCAAATAAAAATAAATAAAGTTAATTTACCAAATATACATTCTAACTTACAATTTTTATTTATTTATATATATTTTTTTCAAATAATTTTCAGTATTTCAGTTGAAAAGTCACAAAAATCTTTAGTATACTGGACTGAAAATAAACATGAGTGTAGATTGTTAAATAGGTTAGTTGATAGTAAGTTTAAAGATCGTAAAATCAGATAACCAAGCTTTAGGCATGTGAATTATGATATAGCTATAAAAGACATTATTAAGCTCGGCGCACACGGACCACCGACCACAGCCACCGGTGGCTAGCGACAAGCAGTTCACATGATTTTTCTTATATTTTGTTAGAACGCAACGCATACGTGTTGCCGGTCACTCGCTACAGTAACAAAAACATTAAAAAAATCGTGTGAACTGCTTGTCGCTGGCCATCAGTGGCTGTGGTCGGTAGTCCGTGTGCGCCGAGCCTTATATTTGAATTTGTTACTTTAAAAATAGAATTCACATTAAAAAATAGTGTATAACATGAGACTTCACTTCAATTACGTCAGAGTTATGTCGCTACGTATGACGTTAGTGAATATCTCATGTTATCCCGCACTCATGTGCTAGTTAATTTGGATCATTTTCATCATATTTTTAATACTAAATGCTTAACTTCTCTGATATTTAGTTTTCAAGTAATAGTTCCTAGATCCTACCTAATTTGTATCTAAACTGGAATGTGTCAATTTCACGATTGTTTCACACGAGGGTAGGACAATTAAGTAGAGCAGTTGACATTGCAGTACTATTTTAATGCATAATTTGAGGATACCGTTTTGAGAGTGTATTCAAACGATATCAGTATTGCACTGTTGATCACTATCTTATGTCCTCGTGTGAAACATAATCGAATTACCGTGGATTTCTGACCAAAATCTCTATATAAATTCATCTCTGTCAATTCTTGACAACACAGAGATAACAATATGTTTTAAAAGGAGATGTTGGACTCAGAAACCCACAGTTAATGATATTAATGTATAACATCAACACATATAATGAAACTATTTAGCCTCTAGGACGCTTGGTCGTCGTATATTTCCCTTTTTTTTAATATTTAAATCTTGTTAATATTACTCGTAATATTTAAGATAACTTTCATTCCTTAAGTTTAATTTATTTAATATGTTTAATCGTATACTATTTATCATTTATATGTTAATTCTAGTCACAGTTCTGCTGGGTACTAGATATTAAGATTTTAATATGTGAAATAAAAGCTGGTAACACTATTAGATTCTTTTTTAATTGTGATAAATTCTTATCTTAAAAATTTTAACCAGCTTTCTATAAATTGTGTTTTTTGGGCTAAGGGACACTTTATCATCACAATGCATATATTATAGCGTTAGTTTATATGTTATCACATTTATATAACATTTTAAATGTAAGAGACAAACATTGGTACCTAATAACAAAATTTGTAAGTTGACCGTGTCAAAATAATTATAACTATGTTTATATTAATTGTTTTATTTATATATATTAAGATAATATAAGTTCTAGACTAAATTTTGTCTAACAGGATTACATATGAAGAAAGAAATAAAATCTAGAGACAGATATAGAAGGTACATCGTCATGGAAACATTTGACCAAGATTAATTTAGCCCTATTTTAAGGACTTGACATCTAAGCCTCATCTTGCAGGCTTGCAACTTCAATTAGAACAGCAACCATCGTGCATAAAAAAAATTGCTACATAAATTAAACATTCTCAGGTACAGTGACCGCCGCTTGCGGTTTTCTACTTACAGAAAACATTTTTTTAATGAGATAACCTCCGAATCCTGCAAATAACCCATAAGGGTTCACTGTCTTGTATAAAAAAATCGAGAGAGGTGTGTTAGTACCGCGCTTAATAAAAGTCCGTGGTCTCTGCCTATCCCTCTAGGTTACGGGCGTGAGTACTACACTATCGCTTTCAAACGCTTAGCACAAACAGCGAACCTCACTGTACATATAAGTCGGAATTTTGTTCCGTCACTTTGCGTGATAATATCGCATGTTTATCTTTTCGTATTAACACATATCAACGACAAGAACCGGTCGTTTTGGTCGAAGGCAGGTTGCGACCTACATACGAAAGCTTTCTTTGGACGTTTAAAACATACCGGTTGACGATGGACTCCGAAATGTTATCATAGTTTGCCCCGCGGCTTGTGATACTCCGTTAGGTGACCGAACTATGGCTGAACGCCTGTCAGTATGACTGATAAGTGCATTTAGGAAAGAAGGTGCTGCTAAGAATGTAGGTGATGTGAAGTGAGGTGTCAAGAAGAGTTAAGTATTTAATCTATGGGTCCTAGACAACATGATAAGTGGAAATCTTTATACCAACTTAATTATTATTCTTGGAAACTTTTTTTTTGTGAAATACTGTTATATGCAATTTATCCATGGTTTCGGAGACTAAAATCTTAATATTAATATCGTCATCCCTCTCATTATCAAAAACTCATTGGAATTCAAATAATCCAAAATACTTTTAAGGTGGTACATTTTCTTCTATATTTATAAACTGTCTCCATGTGTTTTTCCAGACTATGTTTTATATCTATGCCAAATTTCATGGAGATATCACCTAACAAGCATCTATCTAAACTTACGCATTTACAATATTAGCAAGATGTGCAGTAATCAAAAAGTTACAATATCAATTTGTTGCCTCAATCTGCTTGTTTTATAATCACTGTCTACCATTCTAGGTCAGGGGCGTGAATGATCAGATTTATCAATCTTAAAATTATAAACTAATAAGTTATGTTGAATTTTTTGAAATTCGTATAACATGAATAAATATTACACTAGTTTACATTTATTAGTATAATTTATTAACTATTGAAGTAACTTCCAAATCTTGATAAACATGTGTAATAGAATTAAGAAAATCTTATATAAGTTATTTCATTATTAAAATTATATTTGAACATAATTCTGGAAATATTTTTACATAATGACAAAACATTCTTGATTAGTTAATATATTTAAAAATCGTGGCAAAAATTGTTAATATTATAGAGTGTCTTCGAGGCCTACCTTAAGTTAGGGGTGATTAGACCATAGTCAATCACGCTGGCCTAGTGATAGTTGACATCTTTGAATTTATTTGCAGATGTATGCAGTTTGCATTGCGATGATTTCCTTCACTACGAGAACTTCCGACAATTGCACATATGTAAATCAAAAATTCAGTAGTACATGGTGGGATTCGATCCCAATAACTGCAGATTACAAGTCAATTGCTTAACCTTTGAGCCACCGGTGCTAGAAGTATTTGATGTAAAATTAATGTTTCTAATGTTAACTTTATATTAATTTTAAATTAAGCAATGTAACAAAAAAAATCATTAAAATTAAACAAAGACAAAATAAATAGTGAAATAATTTAACATATACTTTTAAAGTAATAATAACATTAAAATAATTGAAACTTTTATTATCCATCCATATTGGACTTCAAGGCGTGAGAAGTTAATTTTTTAACAATTTGCAGCTTTGTTTTTTACAATTACATTTCAAGTGTATTTACGTGTGAGTTAACTTTCTCTGGCAACTTTGACGTTGGATATTTGTCAAGAATGTACCTCACTCGATAACCTACATAACACCACTAAAAGTTTTCATTATTTGCTCAATTAACAGTGGGTTTCCATTGCCAAAACAATAGTTCAAGGACGTATTGCCCACACTTTATTTTCTTTGGTTAAACAGAGACTACATCGGATTCTATTCGAAAAATCTTTTTCTCACATAATTATGTAACACCAGCTGTGGCCTGTGACTCCACACACCACACGGAATTAAAAGAACTTTTAAATCTATGTGTTCTTTCTGACTATGCTCTAAATCTATGCCAAATTTCAGCTAGAGGTCCGTTGCGCAGTTATGGAAAAACCTAACAAATAAATGTAGGAAGAAATGTACAATTAAAGATATTACGGCCGTGGAATACTACGGCTAAACGAAACATCAAAATGTCATTATGACCATTATCTGTAATTTGTTATCTTTAAATTCGACACCAAATCATTAGCAATATACATTTTATACTCTTCCTATTTTAACTATGTTTTACTATCTATATCTTTAATGTAGTTTGTATGTTTCACTGATATGTATGCTTGAATTTACAGTCAAACGGAAATATATGACCAGGTGACAAAGGCGTAGCTATCGCGGTGACGTCTATATTAAAAGGAATAAAATATCATCATCAGCTCACACTATACGTCCCTACCCCTGGACTCCGTGCTTACCCTAAGTTAGGAGTGTATTATAATAGGCATAGAAAAATGCTTACAGCTACAGTACGCCCAAACTTGTCACTTTTTGACATTGCCAGAGGGGCGCTAGTGAGCTGTTATTATTTAGTTTGACTCATACCCACCGAGCCAGATAACGAATGGATGTTTGTTTGAAGGTATCTCCAGAATGGTGCAATAGTTCTTGATGAAATTTGTCACAAATGTAGAACATAGTCTGGCAGAACACTGATAGGATACTCATTATGTTTTTTTTTATTCTGCGCGGACGGAGTCGAAAGCGACAGTTTTTATAACTAAAATTCTACTCAGCGTAATTAGCAAGTGAGTTGTAAAGGCCCTCGAGCAACAGTCGTCAGCAATAAATAAAAACGTAACTAGTTTTCGGTTGTAAATGTATCATGTATCAGCTAATTTTAACTTTCTTTATGATTACCATATAATTTATGTTTGAAAAATAAAATTATGATTCGCGATGTGTTATCAATCAATTGTGAACTTTGTCTTTTTATGGTCGGACTAGGCATATTAGTGAAGATGCATTATGACAATGGTAGCAAACTCTTTTTGCATAAAGGCACAACTTTGCTATATCTTGTTTAAATTATAATTTCTTTCCATATGAAATTTCAAGTAAATACGCGAGAAAATAACATTTTACAATTTAACAGTTTGATTTTGATTATTATAAAGAGTGGAGATTTCTAATTGAAATTTATATGTTCACAGTTTTGAGGTTATGCTCATTGTCAAATAAATATGAAATTGTCGAAATTCACAAAATAACAGTGGCATTAAACCTTCAATATACCTTCCATAAAATTCACACCACAGTTACATTCATGAGTTTCGTATAAATATTTACAAGGTGATTGAAAAACAATTTGTGACCATAATTACTTTATGCATATTATGGTCAGATCATTTTGACATTCATAATTTATAATGAATTTATAATTATACCAGTTATTTTGGATAATATTTAGCGAACTACGTATTCTTCCAGACCATGTTCTACGTCCATGCTAAATTTCAGCGGGATTAAAGCAGCCATTTTGGAGATACCTTCTAACAAACATCCATCTAACCGTTCGCATTTATAATATTAGTAAAATGTGTCGAGTTACCTAGAATGGAAGAAGCCTACTAAGAAATATAAACTCTTGGAATGTAGATTTAAACGACTACTAAATAATAAAGAAATCCTTCATATTAAAGTCCTTGTCCATTACACAGATAAACACTAAAGTTGCTGACAATGATAAATAAAAAAAAGCAATATCAGTTCATAAAACTGTCAGTTACTCAAGAAATAATTACAATATCAAGTCTATTTTCCTTCAACTAACGATACAGTAAAAGGATCAAGATTAATCGACTCAGTAGATCAACTGACGAGGGTTTTTGTGATTGTCCAAGTCTACTAGTTGTGGTCCGCGACTCTGTCCGCGAGGAATTAGAAAAAAAAACTATTGGTCGCAGTGTAATGTTATATAACCTAAAGCCTTCTTCAATAAATGGACTATCCGACAAAAAAAAGAATTTTTCAAATCGGACCAGTAGTTCCTGAGATTAGCGCGTTTAAACAAACAAACTCTTCCGCTTTGAAGTATTAGTATTACGTTGTGATCCTCTGTAGCCCAAATAATCGAATCGATTTTGACGATTGAAGTTTCAATCGACTTCTATTCTTTGCCGGATTGTATGAGTGTTCTCAGCCGTTTCGGATTATTTTAAGAACTTTTTTTACGATTAGCTTAGCATTTAAATATCATTAATACTTTATGATAAGTATTCAACCTATCTTAGTAACTCTTATATGTCTCGTTCTACTTTTTATAGCTTGTTTTTAAAACATGACGTCAAATCACAGCAGGTTGTTAGTCAAGTGAAAGTATCAAGACATTGAAATCCACGGAAAAAAGGTGACTATATTTATGGTAAAGTCTAGTTATTTATTACCCAATGTTTAATTAACTCGTCAATATGTTTCAGTACATTAGCGAGTTTTGCTTTTAAATAATCCAAATAACTTAAGCAATGCAATAAATTCAATTGAACGCTATCAATTTCTTTAGGTACGTACTAATCGTTGACGTTTTTAATACTGTTAAATAATTCTTTCATAGTTTAAATTTAATTTTAGCAATTGCTTTTATAAAAACAAAGTTAGTGTTAGCATCGAATAGAATCGTTAGATGGAGCGTAGAGAGGTTTAGGTATGTGTGTGTGTGCCGACCAAATATCGAGGCCGTAAAGCGAGATGTCAGTTTTACGCGCAGACTTAAATGTTTAGATACTTGAAGTCGGTTTTGTTAAGTGAAATTACAAATGCAATTGTTTTGGTATAAATTTTTTTAAGCATTTTAATAGGTTTAATTCCTATTTAAATACGATCAGAAAGATAGTTTTTCAGAAATACTATTATTAAATATAATAAGAGTAACGATGTGTGAATTAAAGAACTATTATTTATTTGGCATAGTTAAATTAGACAACGAACACATTTAGTAATCGCATTGATATATGATAGAAATATTAACCTAAAAATTAATGTTTCTTAACACATTCTTAAAGCATCAAATTTTGCAAGCGTCGTACAGTTAAGCAAAGGTGAGCACGGCGCGGGCGCAGCCAGTGACGTGTCTCTTCTCACTTCTCTTCCTTCAGTGAACCGCGAGCCACGGTGCGAGACGGACGTGTCGTGTAACGCATCAATTGAATGCTAATTACTATTAATTGGTGTTACATTCGACGCTGTGTGAGATCGCGTACAAAACTTCAACAAGTTATATTGCAAATAGAAAACGTTTCGCTTTCACGGCTGTTTTAGCTTTTGTTAGCAAGGACAGTGTTTTGAAAGTTTTACTAGCAGGATAGAAATAAAGTGTCTTATAAATTGGTGTGTTACGGCATTGCTGTATCGCGTGCTAACGGATCGATCAGTGGGTGAGTGGAGTTTTACTAATTGCATTTTATCAGGAAATCTGATAATTTTCATTTTGCTAGCACTTTCGATATTACAAAGGGGATATGCGGGCAAATGGGGAAGACAACTTTCGTTTGCGTCGAATTCGAAAAATAATATTTGAATGGTATTTCATATACAAGTAAAACTACCTTCTAAATAAAAAAAAAAACATTTCCTCAGTTTTAATAATTCCATATCCTTTAACGTATTACGTCATTATCAAATTAAATGCGCACAATTTGTTTTTATACTACCTTCAATTTATTTCTTAACCTCGGTTACTATTACATAGAATTGATATTACAGTTGTATGTAAAAAAAACTGCGTATTTTAACGTTGTATAGTACAGGCTCCCCTTTACTTGTAATGCTGTCCTTGATTTTATTAAATTCAAGGACAACGCGTACCCTCTTTACGGTAATAAGTATATTTAACGATTTTTTCCAACGGATTACCTACTCGTAAGTTTGATTCCGGTTTTAATTTTGGTACCAAAGTAAATATATTTAAATTTATATTGACAAGTTGAAAAAAAATCTACAATTTTTTTTATTTGAATATTTGACTAATCCTTTAAGTTTAATCTAATAGATTAATAGGTGAAGTTCCTGCGCAATTTAAAATATATTTTTGATTTTATAATTGTTACATGACCAATAAGTAAATATTTATATGACAGTATTAGTATTGCATTTTTTGCAATGATGTACAGGATGTAACATACCTGAAATGATGTACAGGATGTAACATACCTGAAATGATGTACAGGATGTAACATACCTGAAATCTTTACCAGTCCTAATAATCATTTCCTTTAGGTATAGCTGGTTTGATTATTTCTTGTAGGTTTCTTTAAAGCATCAGGAAACTAATCTAGTATCTACAACAGTCTTATCTGATAGACAAATAAACAAAAATGTTTTTGTCAAATGTTTTTTAAATATTGTATAGAAAGAAAAACCAAATCGAATTAGATGACGTCGTGTTATTGGAATGTTGTTGTACTATTCAATATAAGTTTTTATTAGGCATTGTTTTCCTTGAATCAATTATGAATGCGTTCAAATACAAACATTGGTGAGTTGATTGTGAGCTGTTTGTTTGTTTTTAAATCTGCGACGGTTAAAAACAATAACACAGATTGCATACGATATTTTTTATCAAACAAAACTGTGATAAAACTAACTGGACGCAGTTATCGCAAGTTGGCTATAAAGAAATATGTTCCAGTTGTAAAGGATTTTAATTTAAACATTTAAATATAAGAAAATTATTTTACTATTATTATATATGCGATAGTTTAGATGGATGGATGTTTGAAAGTATCCAGAACGGCTGAACGGATTTTGATTAAATTTAGCACATATGTAGAACATAATCTGGAAGAGGACACAGGCTACTTACTAATTTAGTCTTTTTTTTCATTCCGCGTGGAAGGAGTCGCGGGCAAGCTACTTTTGTTAATAAATTATTGTTTACGCTTACAATCTGATTGATACAAAAGACATCAACGAGTTTATAAAATCTATTGTAACTTGTAGGTATATGAAAAAGTTTAATTTTTAGAAGTTGTAAGATATTATGTATTTAAAAGTAATCGAATCATCTTATTTACTTTAATAACAAAAAAGAATTAATAAACGAATTGTGTGAGATCATCTGTATAGGAGTTTATAATCTCATTTAATTTTGAACCTTATCCAATTGAAATAAAATCTATATTAGAGTACTTCGAAGTATTGTATATTATCGTACGACCACCTATAGCTATAGCCTACACAATCGTCATAGTTTTTTTTATTTCATTATAATTACATTATAAATGTAGTGATTATAAAGCTGTTAGCAACACTATTATTTCAAGCGATTTTGAACTGTATTCTATTGCAGTAAGGTTGTTATAGTATAATAACAATCGGTTTGTTAATATCTAACACATTTTTACATAATTTGTACATACTTTTAATCGTACACAAACTAATATCAGAGTTAATGATATTAAGAATAAAGCCTTACGACATTAAATATAATTTAATATAAAAAAAATTATTCGTAATTCTTTAAGAGAAGCTATTACTAAGAACACAGAGTAAATAATATAGTCAATTTCAATGGTAAAGAAAAATTATATTTACACATGTCACTGGCTGACAATGTTGTTTATTGTCTATGGATTGGTTTTCAGAACTTTCAAAACACTAGTGTTTGCAGACTTATAAATGTATTTTTTTTTAATAGGTAGCTCTGAAAGTTAGACATATTCAATTCTGACGACTTTATAAAACTACATGTAACATTTGGTGGTTAAATTTATGAACGATATACATTTAAGAAAATACTTAACTTAAAGGGGGAAGGTTGCCAGTATCTTCGGAACCTTGCCTAAACTCTTTTTAATAGTATATTTTAGTTAATTATTCGTTTTTAATATTTTATTTAATATCATAGATTAAAAATTCTTTTGTCATAAAGTATATTTAGATGATGTTAAATGTAACAATCAAAGTATGTAGATCTTATATTACTTGATACAATTTATCGGTATGTTATGTAGGCGTATTTCTCATAGACCTCGCCGTGTTCAAGCAATGTATGGGGTTGTTGCACTAACTGGAACTTAACGCAAACTGGTCACGTGTCACGTGGTCAACTCTGATTAGAGCAAAGCCTACCTTATAATATTCATTTAGTCTTACGTAGTATACTTGAAAGATTGAATTGTTCGTTTGTATACACTAATCTCATAAATGCTTAGTAATTTTTAATGTAGTAATTACCTAAATTCTAGTCGTTTTAATGATAAGTAGGTATTCCTTATTGTGATTGTACGTAAACTATCATTGGACTTGCAATTTCATGCTCTTAATAATCGTAAAAAAGCTAACAACCTTGAGAACAATCAAATTACCGAGTAAATAAGGACCTTTCCGCTTTTATAAAGTTAAAATTAAAAATAACATGAAGTTCTTTTGCGTCAATGTACAGATTAAAGTTTTAACGGTTTATTAAGTTAGCGAAACTGAGGCATACTATATTATAACTATAAAAATCAAATACAATATATAATGAAACATATGTTTATATGTAATCATCATAAAATCATAATGTATGTACATAATGTCTAAAAAAATAAATCTAGTTTTGTTTCTGTTCCAAGTTACTGTAAAAAGAAGACAAACCGCATTGGGCCAGCGTGGTTGACTATGGCCTAGTCACCCCTAACTTAGCGTATGCTTTAAGCACCTCAGTGAGGTAGTATGATATTTAACAGTGGCAGAGCCAGCTTTAACATCTTCGCACGAATTGGCCCGGCTCGCCCGTGTTCTGTGTTTCAGAAGACAGGCGTGAAGTGGAAGCAATTCCGCGTTTCGTCTGATGAGTGTGCGTCCCGGAGGCCTAATTTAGTCCTCTTTCCCTTCCCACACTTTTTCTTAAGGAAAGGATGGGAAGTGGAAGTAGACTTTTTGGATGAGAGGATGCATGGAAAGGGAAAATATTTTCTTTCTGTGCATCCTCTCCTCCATCGATTAAAGGTAGGCAACGCATATGCAATTGCGTATGTCTATGAGCAACGGTCACTTCGCTATTTAACCACCTTATAATAAAAAAATGAGCTGATGACATACCAAATGTCACCATACTGGAATTTTTACAAGTGTGAATGTGGAAAAACTTGATAATTTTCTCTACTAAATTGCTCTACTAGAGTCTTGAATATTTTATCTCGTTCACAACGTATGTTATCACAGAAGTTGCTTAAACTTTTATTATGTTCACTGTTTAAATTATTTGTATAATATATAAATAATTTCTTCACAACTGTTATAAAATGATTGCGATGAAATTCAATAAACTTTAAATTAAAATATTCATATGACACCATTACGAAAGTTAAAAGTTATCTTTACAATAATAACTGTAATATTACCTATTAAGGAATGAAGTTTACAACATTTATTTATTAGAAATTTCAAACACTTAAACTAATTTTATAAAGCAATTTAAATGATTAATTGTTTTTTTTATATTAACGATTGCTTTAAGATTTCGTATTTTATTTTATGTTTAAGATATTACAGCAAAATGTAATATAATTTGTGAGATATAACTAACATTAGTATTGCAAATTTTAAGATGGGTTTTGATATGTCAGCGGCAGATAATATTTATTTCTAATCTAAATAATTCCTAGCTCATTATTTAAAGTTCAGTTTTTATATATCTCGCTATCATGTTCAAACAATCTGACTAATATTATAAATACGAATGTTTAGATGGGTGGATGTTTGTTAGACGGTATCTCTAACCGCTAAACGGAATTCGCTGAAATTAGGCATAGATGTAGAACATAATCTGGAAGAAGACATATGCCACTGCGTTCTTATTTTAATTCGATGCGACCGGAGTCGCGGCCGATAGCTAGTTGCTTATACACTCGGTTAGTGGAAGTGGAATAAGGTCTAAGTGAGCTACGGTATTAGAGGTGATTGCTCCTCGCTAAATATAGAACCATCGGCAACGTTTTGCAGACTACGATCTAACGTATCCTTACATTGGAACGTAAATCGCTCTATTTTTATTTAAAAAAACTCTGTTGGTTTTAACGTAGTATTTTGCTATTTAGAAAACTAAGAGAAAAATATACGGGCTTTGAAGCCAAAATTGCTGTTTATTATAACTATCGTTCGTACTATTCGTATCGTTGTAAAGTTTTGAAACTACAATTTTTTTTTAGTTAGTAGTTAGTAGGTTGAATTCGTTATTATTTAGGTATCAAACATTCTTAATACGAAGAGGGGCCTTTAAATTAATAATTCAAGGCAACAAGTTTTGGAATTCAACATTTTTAAACAATTTACGTATTATATAATCGTCCAAAATATTGTAATTTGCACACGTCAACGGATATTTGGTGTATTAGGCATATTGATTGCTTTAATGGTTTTGACGTCCGGTCATAAAAAAAACTCGTTGTTTTTATAAAAGATTCCGTCACAAGATGACAACATAATGTTACTGAAAGGAAGTATAAAGCTTTGATAAACGTTTTTGATTTTTTTTTATAACATTAGGGGGCAACCGAGCACCGGAAACACCGAGGTGTTCAACGACGCCATTTGTGATTAGTTTCTTAGCGATCTGTCGTCCGCGACTCCGTCTGGAAATTAAGAGAAAAACTGAATTAGTAGCCTATGTGATCTTAAAGATTATGTTCTACATTTTTGCCAAATTTTAGGGAGATCCATGCAGCCATTCCCGAGATATCTTCTATCAAACGTTTATCCATCCATTTTTTTTATATCATAAGGTGGCAAACGAGCGAGCGGCACCTGAAATCGCTGAAATAGCGAAGTGACCGCTACCCATAGACACACGCAATTGCATATGCGTTGCCCACCTTTAATCGACGGAGGAGAGGATGCACAGAAAGAAAATATCTTCCCTTTCCATGCATTCTCTCATCCGGAAAGTCCACTTCCACTTCCCATCCTTTCCTTATAAGAAAAAGGGTGGGAAGGGAAAGAGGACCAAATTAGGCATCCGTGACACACACTCATTAGACGAAACGCGGAATTGCTTCCACTTGACGCCTGTCTTCTGTATGGTCGTGGTATTTCACCAGGCGAGCCGGGACAATTCGTGCGAAGATGTTAAAGCGGGCTTTACCACTGTTAAAATCCCATGAATCCAAACATTAACATTTATAATATTAGTAACATTGCCTTTTTGCATTAATTATTTAATTGATTTACACAAGATTATCTAGCTATGTGGGATATTAAGAGTACAACAATATAAAAAAGAAATTAATTTTACCTACATTTCAATATAATGTACATACTCAATTTATGTTAAGTACATAACTTTCGAAGTATTTAAATACTCGTAATTCATTTGTCGATATTGTTACGTAAGTACAAAGGCCTTATTGAATACCTGTCCGATGATTTCTTCTGTTACGACACACTACAATGCACTCTAATGACTTTCCGATGTTTATCTGACAAATTCACGGACATTGCCATTTAAAATGACACGTAACATGTTGTATAATATTGATTTAGTACAAAAAGCTCTAATAATTTCTTGTTTTAACCTATGAAAACTAGCTATAACAAAAGAACTTTAAAAGTTCCTTTATGGTATTTTTATTGCCAATTAGTAGTCGCAACTTCATCCGCATCGAGTTTAAAAAAAAACTTAATTAGTTATGCCTATGTATTCTTTTAGACTATGTCCAACATCCATGCCAAATTTCAGCGAGATCCATTCAGCATTTCTGAAGATATCATATAACAAACCTCCAACCATCCATCAACGATGGGCAGCGGTCGCATCGCCATTTGGGTGAATTCAGATGGCCGCTTGCTCACTTGCCACCCTACAATGTAAATAAATTCCAGCTTGATACCTTCTCGCGTTCCTGGGGAAAAGGGTCTTGACAGACAGACAGAAAGACAGACAGACGGACAACAAAGTGATCTTATGAAGAGTTTCCTTTTTTCTTTTAGGAACCCTAAAAATGAATCGGTACCTTAAATTTATTATTGTGAATCTCCTTGCGTTCTTTGTCTTGTAAGGTCGAGCCGTTGTCTTCGTCGTCTCGGTCCACATAACTGCAGAATAAGAGCAATTTGCCGTCTATTTAGATGTAGGTCTGTTCCGATCGCTGTCTAAGTAGTTCGCAGCACTGGAGAAATTATAATAACAATAAAATACACAAAGCCGTTTGCTAACTTTCGAAGCTTCATTTAACTATCTTACCTAGTTTTAGACATTATTAGTTAGAATCCTTTGGCGCGAGTTACGCGCTTTCGTTACAAAGTCAAGTGTCAAAATGATTAGTGGGACATAAACGTCGACATTTTAGCAAGGCAAGTGTTGCGCCAGTACACCGACACTGTCGGATTTTCATTCTAACACTAATAAGATTCTAATATTATAAGTAGGAATGTTTGGATGCATGTTTTTTAGAAGGTATCTCCGGAACGGCTTAAAGGATATTGATGAAATTTAACATAGATGTAGAACATAGCCTGGAAGAACACATAGGCACAATTAGTACTTTTAGTACACAATTACTACTTTTAATTCTGTGCGGCCACATTTAGTTCCATTACATAGACCAGTTATGAACTTATGCTCACAGAAATATGCTTTTATTACTGAAAATATACATATTTTGTGAATATAACTTTTACATAAGTATAATTTAAAGTATATAATCCTTTAACATAACGAAGAAAGTTGATATTTATTTAGTACAGTACCAACATCGGACTCTCACAGCCGGAGACAGGTTAAATATGCAAGAATGTTAACACGTTGCGACAGCGGAGCGAGCACGAATCGCTAGCTATCGCTTTTAATCGCTTTTGATAGCTAAAAGTGGGCTTCCACTGTGATTTTACGCACGGAAAATCGCAGACGCTTTTACGTTTCAAATTAATCGAGTAGTTCCGTATCTGTAACCATAGACAAACTGCATATTATTCTAAAATTCAGAAATCCCATAATATTTCTAGTATAAGGTTATTTGACAAAACTAACGGATTTTCAAATAAGGACTTGACAACTTTTTTTCAAAATAAAATGAAAACCATTTGAGATATTTTGTGGAAAACCTATTATAACTACATACATTAGCAAATTATTTATATATTTAATTCGGTTTATCTGTAAAATAATCTAAAATTCAAATTTCGAATTTAAAATTCCTTTGTTTACTTAATTCATATCTTGCACGCTACAGACGACTGTTTCCACTACGCGTCATGCGAATCGGACGGATCGGAGTGGAAACACGCTTTAAACATGCGAGCGATACCGCGCGTAAAACGCGTTCTTCTGCTTTCACCTGTTCGAGATGGGTTTGACAACGGGTATTCGTTTTACATCGTTTTGTACACGGCGAAAGCCTCACCGCTATTCCCTAATTATTTTTTTGACTAGTGGCCGTTGGCAATGATAATTTGGATAATTTATGATGAACGATTTTTCTGATGTCGAATTTTGTAAAGATGTTAATTATGTAGGCATTTATTATTTAATATTTATATGCTACAGGTGAATGTTAACAGGTTTTTAATACTACAGTTACTACAGAGAACGCTTGTATTATTTTTTTATTAATATATAACAAACTGAAATTTGAATAAAGAAATTTACTAGTAAATCCCAGTTAAATAACTGAAGCTCAAATTTTGTCAAATTTAAAGGAAATTGTCTTTCTTTATACCATATTATCTGTCTTATATCACATTAGCTGTTGCCTGCGACTCCGTTCGCGCGGTATTAAAAAAAACTGAATTAATAGCCTGTGTTATGTCAAATTTCATCTAGATTCGTTTAGCCGTTTTGCAGAAACTTTCTAACATACATCCATCCATCCAAACATTCGCATTTATAATATTAGTAAGATTTATAATTTACACATAGCAACACCAAAACCATATCTGTCCAAAATCCTTTTAAATAATATTTGACTTCAAAAAACCGTCTTTATTACGAATGTCAATGATTACAAAAGGTTAAATTCCTAATTTAAATTCCTCAATAAATTATTTATATAACCAGATTTATAACGATTCTTTCAAATAACCTTGAAGGCTGACATTTTATTCTAATGAAATGTAATATTTTTTCCAGATTTCCTGATCCACTAATCAACATATAATTTGGTAAGAATATTTATATTTTTAGCAATATTATTGCAAATATATGGACTGGAAACCTACTTTATATTGTGAGGTGCATATTCGCAAAAGGTTACGATAGTTCATATTAATGGTATGAAATGTCGATACAAAATCGATTCGGCCGATGTCTTAATTCGATATTGTAATCGATTCTCGATATCGAAATGGTAATTTTTATTTATAAGACGTTTCTAATAATTATTCTACTTTTAAATTAGACATATGGCAATTGCCAATTCATTTTTTTTATTTTATACTAAAGGAGTAATGGTTGATTTCTGAGACGAAAATTCCTGTTTATAAATAAAGTGTATAATAAAGTTTATAAATCCCTCTTCTCTTATCTATATTTGACAAAACAGGATTTTAGTTTCATAAACCAATGGTATTTTATTTAAAAAATGTTTTAATACTGGCAACTCACACTTAAAGCGATCACTAAGCTTAAGAACTGTTACGTAAACCATAAAAATAAATATAAACATCCCATAACTAAATAACCAAATGTCAACTATCATTACTGTTATGTCATAATTTAACGCATTAAAATGTTTGAATAGTTGCTTTGAAAACGTGTGAATTGCAAACACAAGGGAAAGTCGACTTCAGCGGACCACAGATTGTACGCACGAAATAATTCCGCGATGCAAGCCAAGCGTAGACCGTATGTACATCTTACGGCGTGTTTACACTATCGTAATACATGTCTAACTAAAATTTAGTCATCTCCTTCATTCTTAATCCGCGCGGTCGGAGTCGCGGGCCACGGCTAGACATATAAATGTCTTAACTGATGATGACCACAACACTTCGAGAGATGGTATAGTACTTATTGTCTATAAAAATTAGCTGCAAATATTACCTGGTCTCATCTTTTTACGCACATTTTAACACCTTTGATAACAAAATTTATACAGCATTACGAAGTGACATAAAAAGTGACTTTACTGACCTTAAACACGTAATTTCTGGCTGTAAATTCATGCATTAATCCTTACTTTAATGATAAACAGTGTAGCCATTTTTATCTACTTTATCCCGTTATCAAAAGACAAAGAAGTGTTATTTTGGTTTACAGTCTTTTTATAGGTTGTAATAATTTAAGAAGTTTTTAATTTTATTCAACCTTCATGCTCGGAAATATGAAATCTCTTTTAAAGATATGTGTATTTTTATAAATATCACGACTTTTAAATTAAAAATATAATTACCAATTTTGTGTAACCTTTGAAAAAGAATTAAGGTCGGTATATCTCAGTCATTATTCAGTGTACTTTTTATGCTGAATTTAAACGTTTGTGGTAAATTTTAACCCTTTTAGATAACCTCAAAAACAACTTCGCGTTTAAAATGAAAGTACTTTCGAAAGATAAAGTGATAAGTTACAGATGTAATTAGTAAAATAAAATGTCACAACCACATTTCTGTTGGGTTTTTAATTTACTAAAGTTAAGATATCAAGGCAAAAGACGTGATTTAAATGTCTTGCTTTAAATAAAAAAAGAAAAAAGTTAATTTGTAACCTTTAGGCGACAACGTCCAATAACGTATGTGAAATAAAAAAAATCCTGTCAAATCTTTCTTCTTACTAATAATATAAATTCACATTTAAAAGGAGGGATGGGTGTTTGTTTGAAGGTACCTCCAGAACCGCTGCATGGATCTTGCTGAAATTTGACAATGATGTAGAACAATGCCTGGAAGAGCTACCAATTATTATTTTTTCTATAATTCCACGTGGAGTTGCAGGCGATAGCTAGTTTTACCGTAAAAGGAGTACGCTTGGAATATTAAAACAATTAAGTAACCTCCAGCGTTGCAATTGTCCATGGGCGTCGATAAGCACTTCCGGTGTTACCACTCGTTTGCGCCCTTATCTTATAAAAAAGCTAGTACTAAACTAAACCATAAAAGCCAAGGAAATTGTTAAAGAAAATAATAAATAAAATAGTTTTAAAAAAAAAGTTTTAGATTACAGTTACTTTAGTTTTCAAAAGATATCAGATCAGGAAATATTTTTAACGTTACATTAACTGTCGAATAAAACTTTAACCCTTGGTTTCTGAGACCAATACCTTTAAAACATAAGGATCCTTGTCATTATCTTTAATAATAGAGAGGTTACAATGTTTCACGCTTGGATTTTGGTATCAGAAACCCACGATAAGTATAGCATAATTTCTAACTTAATATAGTTAACGTATATTAAAAGATTAATACAAAGAATGCTCAAGTCATCGATACAATTATGTTAATACAAGAAAGTCAACGAACAAACGTTCAGTAACTCTCACAGCTCCGATGCCAACGTTCAATTTCTAAGTATACTGTTCTTTGAATGCCAATCAATAGTTTTTCACATTTCTTAGCGTTCTGAGAAACTGGGACAATTGTGAGGAAGCAATAAATTGTATTAGTTGGTTATTGGATGAACGGAAGGAAGGAAGTGTTTTGTTTGCTACATATTGTTTTGTTTTTCAACTTGTTAAGCAACATTCGTAGGAAAATGTCTCATCTTACTCTGTCTGAGAACGATATGTTTTTTGTTTTGATGTTTTGACAATGTAAACACAGTTAAAGTGCAGTATAAAATGTTGCATTCCTGATGCCCAGATAAAACCTACTCGTGTTGTTACTAGAACAGTAAGGATATTTGATTTGAACTAATTAAGATTTTATAATTTAAATTAAAATATTCAAAAAAAATATTTATTAAAGCGTAGTTATATTTAATTAATAAACAAGATTCTAAGTTCACGGGGAGTATCCTGTAGGTTTTGTTTCTCTTACAAATGTCGAAATTTCGTGTAAATTTGCAACATAAACGGTTGTATCTTTCGATTGGGCTGGCTTAGAAGTTTCATTTTTTCACAGCACCTAGCGACCGCAGACCTGAACATTTGATATAAATTCCAGCTTGATACCTTCACGCGTTTTTGAAAAAAAGGGTCTTGACAGACAGACGGACGGACAACAAAGTGATCGTATAAGGGTTCTGTTTTTTTCATATGAGGTACGGAAGCCTAAAAATTTATTAATTTTACTTGATATTTATTTTATGAAAGTCTTAAGTAATACGCTGCTCCGAATTTCCACGTTGTAATTAGTGGGCTGTACAGAAACACTAAATCATTTAATACCGGCTAACAAATTCTTCACGTTACGTAGTTGTTTTGTAATATATGAGGTTATTAACTGGTTAGTAATTAAATTTCTTTTGAAGCTATGCAATATAAATAAAAAATCGTATTTAATTTCTTGGAATGTCATCACTAATATTTTTATTACTTTTGGCTAGCTCTTAAATTTAGCGAGAAAGTATTCGTAACGTAATCGATTAAATTTTTATAAGATTCGTTATTTTTTCGCTCGATACGGGTCCAGTAGTATAGTACAAAATCTGTCGATGACGATAAATTAAAAAAAATCTAAATCGGAGCACCAGCGGCGAATTTACGCGCTAATACACATAATAAAAAAATACAAACGAATTAATATCCTTCGTCTTTTTGAAGTCGGCTAAAACGTAAAAACAACAAGCTCTTATTTAAAGTATGTTAACTGTTCCTAAAGCATTAGTACATTTTCTATAAGATCCTATATACAGGTTCTTCTGTCCATCATTTGCTTCACTTTTACTATTAATATTCACGCGACGCGGTGAAAACAATCGCTCTGTCATTCTGTCCGTATACGTATAATGTATAAACGTATACTTTCACCGTGTTTCGTTCAAAATATTTTAATACACGACCTTACCTCGGATCCTGTTATCTTTATGCGCTTAGATTGTCACTATATTGGTTTTACGATGAGTTTAAACATAGCCGGTAAATTATTTAATATCTTTAAAACTCTAGGTAAAAAAGAACATAATTTACAGTCAATTTGAATTAAAAAAAAATAGGAATGTTATAAAACGAAAAAGTTAATAACGAACGTTGACTTGCTTTTAAAGACAGCAAGCTGTCGCCCGTTACTCCATCCGAGCAGAATAAAAAAGTCAATTAGTAGCCTATGTGTTCTTACAGACTATAATCTACATCTATGCCAGATTTCAGGTTGATACGTTCAGCAATTCTAGAGATACATTCTAATAAACATCCATTTAAACTTTCCCATTTATAATATTAGTAAAAATTACCTGAGCGTCTTAAAAATATGTATATTTCTACCAGCCGCATACTCTTATCACAAACGTTTCAAAATGATATCACAAATTACACTAGTTATGATGAAAGTAATAAAAAGTATGAGATGAAACAAGATTACTCATTAAGCAGTATCATTAAACGTTAAAACTAGGGCATGATCACACCGTTACGGTTGTAGCTAAAGGGGCCACTTGGGAGACACGACATTGGATAAACTTTATTATAAAGATACGTGTACACTGGCCCTCGCCGGACGCACCACACGTACGGCCCGCAACGGATTCTTGCTTTGTATGATTTTACATAGCGCAGCGTCCATCTTCCGCGCCGCGCGCATCGCTTCAAGACATGTTTCTCTTCCCTTCGTCCGTTTAATCCGGCCGGTATGTCCGGCGTGGACCAATGTACGCATACCTTAATAATAATGTAGAAATTACTGCTTATGTTGAGCCCTAAAAGTATCAAGATGTATTAATTACTATGATGAGTTTTTTATATTATACAATCGGTTCCTTTAAACAATATTTATTTAGTAGATAATATGTGCTGGCAAATACTGTTACATGAGTTTTGATTGCGTAGTAATTTTTTTTATAATATGAAATGCAAGTTGTTGTAATATAGTTTTGTAAATAATTGCTACCAAAGTTTCATATATCAACCTTACAACATGATAGTAACTGTTGCGCATGTTTGATACTTGCTTAAGATTGTGGTTTTAAAGTTAAAACACCTTTCTATATTATTATAGGGTTAATGACTACTTACCGTGGGTTTCTGAGACCGAGATCTAAGTTTCAAATATACTATTATCTCTATTTTTTTCAA